GACTTCTTTCCTTCAACCAGTTCACAATCCAATAACGGATAACATCTGCAGCAAGCTTGCAGAATACTGCTTCCCGATGAACAGAAGCTGGTTCGCTGTGCCACCCCATGCTTTTTTGTTTGTTGTGTCCTGTTACTGATGGAGGATGGTGAACTTGCAGTCCTGCTGCTCCAACAGCTTGTGCAGTTGTTCTACCTTTCTATAGGCATGGTGACTGGCTAGAAAGATACTTAAGGGTGGGGTAGAGAAGAAGGAAATAAGAAGGGTTACATATTCACAGGTCTGACAATCTGGGTCCTTTTCATGCCTTTACTTTCTGAGCACTGAGCATCTAGCTAGAAAGAAAAATCATAGAATCACAGAATGATTTGGGTTGTAAGGGACCTTAAAAGATCACCTGGTTCCAACCCCCCTGCCACGGGCAGGGACATCTCTCACTTGATCGGGTTGCTCAAGGACCCGCCCAACCTGACCTTGAACAATGCCAGTGCTGTGGCATCCACAAGTTCTCTGGGCAGCGTGTGGTTTATAGAACTGCAGAAACTGCCTTTATAGACAGTAGTTTGTTGTTTAGTGTTTAAAACTCGGTTTCACTCAATTTTGAAAATTATTTTTAGGCATTTCGTTTTAGATGCCCGATTGTCAAAAGAAAGAACGTCTCCAGTTTTGCAACTTGATTCAAACAGGATCATTTGAGTCACAAATGTTTATGTAGGTCCATGAAACCTAATTCTTATATGAAACCCAATGCAGATTGAAAATCTTACCTGATAATTTTATTTGCATTCATATAATAGGGCTAAGTAAGTTTCTGCTTTTGAGTTAACCTATTTAGCTGTAAAATAAATCAGTTTACAACTCTTGTTAGGGATATGGTGTTCTGAAAAAGTTTATTTCAAATGTAACTACTATCTGGGAAACTGAAGCGTAACTTAATCTAACATAAAGATTATATGAAACCAAGCACCTAGTATTTATTGTGGAATGCTGAAATGCGATAGCTGTCTAGCAAAATACCATCCTGGTTTTTGTGTGTATGTTTTTTGTGTTGTTTTTTTAATGCCCTGAATGCTTCCTGAAAGCCCAGGCTTCACTACTTTAATTTCTTGGGCATTGTGCACTGGAAATTAATTTTAAGCATATATAATTTTTCATGGAACACAATAGGAATTTCCTGTGGCTTTGTCATCTCAAGTTATTTTTGAGGACTTAAACTCTCCACCCCCGATACTGAAATTCCCAGGGATTAGAATATAACTTCTTTTCAGATTTGTGTTTTTCAGGTTTTATCAGTTCTGCTTTGTCTTACTGCCTAGAACTTTTTCTGCATACTTGGGTAGTTATTGTGTGAAGCAGAACTGCGGCTGTTGCTGTATGCTTAGCCAACGAAAAGCTTTCTCATATTTATGTTGCCTTGTCTTTTACTGATTTCTTTTTTTTTTTTTGTAGTAAGTAGTAGTGATACTACTGGTGATACATGAAATAATGAATGAAGCAACCTATTCTGATGTATTTGCTCCCAATATGATCTTGTTACTGTGGTGATTTGGGAGCTCCACTGCTGAGGATATTTATTTGGAAATTAAATGCCTTGTTCTGTTCTGTCCAAGAAAGGTTTGCATGTGTTAGAGTTAAGAAGCAGTAATACAGGTTCTGATGGCAATTTCTTAGATGGGAAAGGAGAGAGAGAGAAAAGGTTTGTAAATAAATTTGATCTCTCAAAATTTGGTTAAGTGTCATAGGCTTGGTTTTAAAGCGCTTGGGCTTTAGAAGGATGGTGAGGCATTGTTTTACAACTGATACTGTGATTTTCATCTTTTTAATGGAAATGCCAGAGAAGTACCTCTCGTGAAAGGAACCATCATGGGAATGTCCTTTAACGTTTTGTTTGTTCAAATTCAAAGGGTTCAGCTTTGTGTGGAGCTGTCTCAGGGAGAATTACGTTGTAGATAGAAGAAGTTCGTATTTCTTGTCTCACTGTTTTGCTTTGTTTTCCACAAATTCTTGTTGCAAGCTGCTTCTAACTAAAAATCACTGCAACTTTTCTCCTAAGGTTTATTGGCATCCAAAGCTGTTGTTGCGGATGGCGCTGAAAAAAAGGAAGGCAACAAAGAAACAGCTCCAGTCCTGGAGCAGGTATGAAATGGTAGAGTTTGATTCTTTTGCAAGGTTCCCACTGGAGTGTGCCATGGAGATGTAGTACCTACAACATTAAAATTTGCCCCTTCAGATATAACAGGGAACTGAAAATTGATCTTATGTTTACATTTCTGGCAGAGCCAGAAGTACGGGATTTAATTGTCTCTAAACACAGTGTTGACTTGAATTTCAATAATGAGCTTTTGTGTTAGAAAACTAATAGAAAATAAAGAAAAATGAAGTCTCCATGCAACAAATGTGAGGAGACCAGTGTCCCAAAGTCCGGTTTCGTAGCTGGAACCGTGACCGTGACTGACTTAGGAATAAGGCCCTCACACAAATGTGATTTGTGTTGGAAACAGGGTTTTTGACATCACATAGAACTTCTCTTAAAAGAAGTTTCTTTTATATTGTAAGGATTTGGTGTTGTAGGCTTGTATGTGTTTTATGAACCCCTCAATGGGCCCTACATTTTTGCAAGGGTGTGTATTTTAATAAATACAAAAAAGAAACTTTTAAATAACATTAAGGACCTGATTTTTAAACCTGCATATTTGCGGGGCCTGAAGGCTGCCACTTTATCTTTGGCTTATTCTGTCGTGTTCAGGCATTGCTCGACTCAGAGTTGCGCGTTGTTTGGCATAGCAAAAGGTCGGAATGCCTGAGCGTGGTAAAGCATTAAGCTAAGGGTGAACAGTAGTCTTGATTCAGGACATCTTTGTTTTCCAGTGATTTAAATCCGAGCCTTAATGTAGGTTTAATACAGCTTTTTTGTATTCATTTTCATTCTTCTTGAACTGCAGCATTTGAATAAAATAGATTGCTGCCTGCAATTCTTAAAAGAGCATTTCTGTTCCTAAGCCCCGGCACACTCTATGAACGGTCCCTACCCTAAACTTTATTTGATATTTTGGTTGTACTGGTTCTTTAGAGCTGAATCTCTAATTGCGTTGCTGTGGTTTTTCCATTGGCGCTGCATTGGATGCGAGTCTCGTCAATGGAACCTGATTTTCTGTTTTTAATGCTGTCACTGTAACGGCTGACGGAGCCACTACGGTGTCAATGCATTGACCGATATTTTGCATAAAGGTTTACAATGTATTGACATGACATTCCATTTCTCAAATTTTTGCATATTAAAGATGCTATGATTTTTATTGCTACTGTGTGTGATATTTTCAATGTGCAAAAAACTGTGAAATGGCTTACAGCATGTTGTTTTTGGAAGAATCATTACAATGTAAATCTTACCATGCACGGTCCCATTGCGGTGAATGGGACTTTGTGGTTTACATAGACTGTGTATGCAACAGTATAAACTACAGTGCATATTTACTAAAACCTTTTTGTTACTTCTTAAGACTTAGTAACTCAGCTGTTTCTGTTTTATTGAATAGATTTTAAAAAAGATGTCTCTGTCATTGTTTACATGCTAATGGTCTGAAAAACCTCATTTTTGGAAATACTACTTAAGCTCCTTTTAAAGAGGCATCTGAAATCCCAAATTTTCCTGTTTCTTCGCTTCTAACTAAAATAGAAACCTCGCCAACATTTAAATGATTAATTGTGGGAGGAAAATTTTTGAGCTTAAAGCTTTTTTTCACCAAGTTCCTGCCCAAACTCAAATTAAAATGGCCGAGTTATAAACCTCCCCAAAAGGTTTTCCAGTAGCAAAGCTGACATTCCTTAGAGGTGTTGTCTGCTACTGCTATAAAATTGAATGGGTAAAATATTTTGTAGGATTTTTAATAATGTAATACAGAACATGGTAGGAGTATTCAGGCCAATAGCCGAAATCTGACTTTGTTGATGGAAGTTTATTTTATTTATATTTATATATTTTTAGTTTGTGGTTGTCTTAAACCCAAAACCTCAGAGGATTAGTTGCAGATACAGTAGTTTATTTAACTGTATTAGGGTATGTCATGTTATATTTCCTTTTGACCAAGACCTGATTAGATGAATAACATCAATTCTTTAAGGTTTTTTAATGTTCATTTGTCCTGTTAAGAGGTTAAGCACCTTATCAAAATATTAATTTAATTTTTTTACTCTTGTTTAAATAACTTTGTAATTTGAAAGTAATGGATGCTGTAGTAATGTCTTTCACATCTGTGAAGATGAACAATAAAATTGTTTATTTACAAGTTACGACTCTAATTAATTTCTGGTAATGCCTCTCATAACCAGCATAGGTATACTCTACAGTTCATGGAATATTTTATTTAAATGAATAAACTGCACTTAGTACATGTGTAATTGAGTTATTCAAGGTAGAACTGATGTCTGCTGAATGGGATGTTTTGCACCGGATCTTTACATGATACTTCCAGCAAGCTATTCCTGTAGCGTTCAGGGGTGCCCTTGTACAAACATAGAATGTGCACTTGGGGTTTTTTGGTTTGCCTTTTTTTTTTTCCTCCGTTGGAACATGGAAAGTTCCAGTGGAAAATAAAATTGTGATTTATAACAAAACTCAGTAATACCCTCAAATCATCAGAGACACGATGTTTTTAGTTTGGATAAAGTGGTGCACGCATTCTAGAAATATTTTTCTACTTCGTTAGTTATGGTTTTATTAGATGGTATTACGCTGTGTGGTGTAACTGGGACAAGCAAGGGGACAGGTTTAAGAAATCATGTTCAGATATTGTAGTTTGCCATTATTGGGCAAGCTGTAACACGTGCACAGTTTATTCAGTAAAGTAAGATGAACTTCCAGTTGAAAAATCTAAAATGCTAATGTCTGTCAATGCATGCTAATTGTCTAAAAATACTTCAATATTGTGTTAAGAAGGATGAAAATTGATGAAATTGGAAAGCTGCATTATATGTTGATTTTTTTTTTTTCCCCTTCAAAAACTGTTTTAACTCTATCTGCTCATTTTTCCCCAACAGTTAGCAATCTATTTAACCCTGTGGTGCTAGAAGTTGTGATTTCTTCATGTGTTTGCACAAACATATAATGTGGTGAAATCCAGACTCCCAGCACTGAAAGGGGTTATGTGAGAGTGTGTTCAGTATTTGGAAACTTTTTGTTGTTTTCAGACATTCCTTGGAGGAGCATTATCAACTCTTTCAGGTTCTTTTCTAAAAATCAAATTTGCGTTAAAGTTTTCCCGAGGAACGTTTACAATTTTGTTTTGTGAAGGGAAAAATCTTGGCAACTGTTTTTAGAACCGCAATCCTCTGCGCGAGGACTGCTTGCTCGTAGCAGTGCGAAAGCCTGTCAGAGTTCAGGGAGTGTCTGGGCGACGCTCTTAGTGTTGGGTAATCCTGCGAGGAGCGGGGAGTTGGACTTGGTGATCCTTAGAGGTCCCTTCCAAATCGAGATACTCGGTGATTGTGCATCAGTATCTGTGTTCTAGCTTGTAACAAGCGTTCTCGAGGTTACACTTCGAGATGGCACTGACAATCCTGGTCTACCGAAGATGAGAGAGGCAGAAACTATAAAAAGACTTTGGTGAATTTTTAAAAATGGGAATAGAGGAAAAACGGTTTGTTTTCAGGCTTTTTCGGGTATTTCAAATACTAAGAAATGAGGGTGTTCTGAATACTGAAAATAATTGATAATGCTCCTTTAAAAAAAAAAAAGAGTTTAATGTGATGCATTTGAAATAGTTTTCTTTTGTACTGAAAATAATGTTGCTTTAAAATGTGTTTTGAATACTAAAGTTGCTTTTAAAAAGATCAAAATAGAATACAAGAACTACAGCGAAGAAACTGAAATAAAAGTATCAATTTTTTATTATTTATTCAGGAGATTTCACCTAAACCACAAAGTCAGAAAAAAAATGAAGCTGATATTAGCAGTTCTGCCAACATTCAGAAACCTGCACTGTTATCCTCAACTTTGTCTTCAGGAAAGGCTCGCAGCAAGAAATGCAAACAAGAATCTGGAGATTCTTCTGGGTGTATAAAGCCCCCTAAATCACCACTTTCCCCAGAATTAATACAAGTCGAGGATTTGACGCTGGTCTCTCAGCTTCCTTCTTCTGTGATAAATAAAACTAGTGAGCACAGACATTTTAAAAAAATACTGTAATTACTTATAAGACATATACAGACATTTTTTTCTCGTTGTAAATGGCTATTGCTTTTAAAAATTAATCTGCTTTAAATAAAAGGTCCAAGTGGGAGAATTAGGGGTAGCTCAGTATTTTAAAAGTCAAGTCACATAATAAAGCATATGAATTACTCTACCAGAAATAATATCTTTAAATAATATATTTATAGAGTTCGTGGCTTTTAATGGTTGGCTTTCCCTCCAGCTTAAATCTCCACATTAGCGTTAACAGTGATCCAGGAAAAATCAAACCTCTCTTCTGAAGGGGCCTGATTCATTAAAAAGAAAAGACATACACCTTGGTGGGGGACCTTTCCTTCTCTGAGAGATTCTGCCTGCAGCAGGCTGATGTGCTCTACCTCTTGGCTGTGGCATTCTTCACCTTATGTGATATTTCCGCCAATATGATGTGAAAGAGAAGATGGGTTCAAGATCTGTGGTGGGGAAATACAAAAAGTCGTGTTTCTTTGTCTCAGAAAAATACCACAGCTGTTCAGCTTCTTAACGTGTGTAACGGATTTGCAAAGTTCCAAAATAGTGGTTTTCAGAAGAACAGGGAAAGGTTTATGTTGCATCCTTGAGTATGTGTTACAATATTTCTATAATTTTTTTTGAGATTACTTTAGGGTTTTAGTGTTGCTTACAGTCAGGCTCTTCATTGCCTGAAGAACATTAAATGATGAGGCCAAGAGTTAAAGTAAATGTGAGTTTCAGTAAGTCAAAAGCTACATTTTTGTTTCGCTTTTAGAATAGTGATTGAGGATGGAAGAGTAAACCTGCACCGTGTGTTCCCCTTAACCTTGAGTTCATATTTTCCCTGAGGAGATAAGTTTCTTTTAATCTTTTCTCACAGATAACTTTAAATGAACAGGAGAGGGAGGGGTGCAAATTCAGCCATCTTCATTTATTCAGGACACGTTGGTATAAATTGTATTTTGTCCCCACAAAATATTAGCAGTCATCCCTATTGTAATATGCCTTCCCTCCCCACCCCTAAAGTAATGGTAAGTAGTTTTCCTTGAGCATGTTTCTATTTTGAATTAAGTTAGAGTTATCTGTAGCAATATTTTAAAAATTAGGTAATTTCAAAATTGATTACTTCATAGCTTGGATCTTGTGTGTCTTCTAATCTTTACCACCTCCAATGGAAATTTAGTTTTTCAGTGTTTTCATTTTTAATTCTTTACATCTTTGACTCTAAAAATGGCTTAAGAAAAGGAGAGAACAGTGATTTACAGGGTAATAATTACTGAAGTTTTTTTCTAAGGCCAAACTTTGTGAAACTGGGTGAAGTTGGAGAGGTGTAGGGGAGTGCGGGTTTTTTGTTTTTAATGAATCAGGCCTATATTAACCTATATCAATCCTCCCCCCGACTTTTTTTTTTTTACAAGTACGAGGTTCTTGAGCCTCACTGTGCCGTGTGTTGGCAGTGTGCATTTGAAATATCGCTGGAGAATTGATACCAGGTTAGCAGAAGATGGGAGCTAGGGTATAAAATTAACCACTGCTTTTGATTATTTTTTTTTTTTGAAGCTGTATGTTACCACTATCCATGACTTTTTAGATCTTGTAACTGTGATCCTTTGTTCTGTTTACTGTTAAATCCTATTGCCCCCTTCCATTACAAGTAGCCTACTCTCATGGGTTAGGGGGGGGGTTGTTTATTGTAAGTACACTGTTTGCCTAAAACAACAGCCTTTATCAGTGGGGAAGTAGATGCCCTAATAATGTATAATAAGAAAAAAAAGCAGAATCATATCTTGAGCATAACTCTTTTTGCTCCTGGTAGTCACAGTTTTTTAAGTACTTTTACCGTGGTTTAACTACTTTTCTGCTGTGGTTACCAGCTTTGCAAATAAGAGCTATTTAAAGCACGCCCCGTCTTTAGATCTCAAATACTGCGGTAAGATTATGGTATATCTCTCTGCTTCATGAACATTGAAAGATCTCTTTTTAGGTCCATCACAGCCAGTGAATTCCCCTAGATCCTACAAACATAGCCAACGGAGAAGAAGATCACAGCGTTTAGCCACTTGCTCCTTGCCTGATGATTCTGTAGAAAAAGTTTCTTCTCCCTCTTCAGTTACTGATGGAAAAGTGTTCTCCATCAGTGGTCAAAACCAACAGTCATCAAAATTGGAGGGTAATGTATCTTAATCTAATAAAGAACTGCCCAAGAGAAATTGAATCATAAAAATTAGACCTTTCATGGTTTTCATCCAGTGGGATATTTTGAGTTATTGTAGCTAAAGCTGTATGCTGTTCCTATGTTATGTAACTGCAGTCCAGACTGTTGTTTGTTGGATCCATGTTATCTTTTTTAATATTACATTTTTTCTTTTATGTAGTACCTGATGTTGCTCATATGTCACTTGAGAAGCGTGGACCCTGTCTCCCTCTTGATTTAAGCCGTAGTTCGGAAGTTGCAGCACCATTATCCACAGAATCCACTTTCCGTAATGAATATCCCAGTAAAGACAAGGAAGATATTCAGATGATTACATATCTTTCTTCCAAAGCAGTAACTGATGGAAGAGTAGCTACAACAGCGTCAGGTAAAGAGATTCAGTATACAACCAGTTAGGTTGTAGTTGTAGGGTTAAAATGTGTATGTGTTCAGTCACACAGAATGAGGGGATACTTTTTTTTTTTTCCCACCCTTCCTGCACACTCACAAACCTGCCACTTTTTCTGGAGTCCATCCGTCTGCCTATTCTTCATCTTCCACTGGCTTTGAGCTGCATTAGTACTTTTTCTAACACCCTTTAAGAAGGATCTGAGAGTATGGAATATCAAAAGCGGTATTTCTTTCAAAAATACTTTATTTTGTTAAAGCCTGTAAAAATAATGTTGTTTACTAACATACGCTAAGTCTAGATGTGCTCATTGATCTTGTGGATTCAGTTTTAAAACTTAGTAACATTTTGCAAGGCAGTCAGCATTCCTCTACCTTTGCTTCTGTTTGCAGTGGAAATTTTGTCATTTGCTTGCTATTAGACGTTGCTCGAAAATACTGCTGAAGAATCCTCCAAAACTTAACATAGACTTGGTTCACCCTCACAGCATAGAGCCCATTACTGGAACTCTGTGCTGCCCCTCACTTCGTAACAGTTTGCTGGCTACTGTGGTTTAAATGAAACACTTGGCAACTAAGAGATTTGGGGGAGGGTTTACATAGTGATTTGCAGACCCTAAATGTGGGTTATTTTCAACCACTGTATATTAGGTATCCATGTACTTTTTTTAATAAGTAAATCTGATATGTGGGTATCATAACATTTTCAATTGGCTTCCAAGAAAGAATTCTCTCGCAGGCCTTTTTTTTTTTTTCTTTTTTTTTTTTTCCTTAATGAGAAAATTGTTCAATAAAGTAAGAGGAGGAAAAAATCAAATTACTGTACTCAGCTGGGGAAGTTTTTGGTAAATGTGATCAATCGTAAGGGAGGACAGGACCCTAAAGTGTATAATGATGACGCTCAAACTGTAACTTAGTCTTTTTTTTGGAGTGGGGGAAATAACGACTTTGCATTAAGCTGATAGTGTAGCTGCTGGGCGCTCAAACTGTAACTTAGTCTTTTTTTGGAGTGGGGGAAATAACAACTTTGCATTAAGCTGATAGTGTAGCTGCTGGGCTCAGTAGGTCAGTGAAGCATTTTGTTTAGCATGTACAGCCCCCTCTTGGGTGTCTGCCCACACGTGCTTCCACTGAAAGTGTAAGGTGATCGCTTCATCGAGTTGTAGCATAGCTGTTTAACCTGATGTAGCAGAAGCTGAGCAGGATTCTTGGATCAATATAGCATAGATTGAAATAGAAGATTGTAATTCTCTTTTTTCTCTCTCTCTCTAAAAAAAAAAAATATTAATCTCTTAAACTAATCTGTCAAAATAAGGGCTACAGGGATTTCTAATGAGCTGCCGCTTAAACTTTTAAAAATATTACTTAATTTCTTGAGTGAAACTGTGACAGTCTTTCTTTGTCTTTGATACATTGCATAGCAGTAGAATTGCTGATTCCTGGGAAAATTGCTTCTGTAAAACGATTTATTTCATGTCTGCTGCCGCAAAGAGAAGTGCTTTTGGAAGTTGTGTATTTGCCCAGTCATAGAATAAGATCATAAAAGGAACCACAGCTTCCAACTGCCGTCTGTTTCTTGTTTATTAGGACTTATTTCAGTAACTAGCAATTTAACTTACAGCTTTAACTTACTCCCTCATTTTCTGGATCATTTAATGTGTAGTTGGTAACGCTGACAGGTATTTGTTTTGTTGCCTGCTTCCATCACGGGACTGACTTGGAGTCCAGGTGAGCTGATTCTAAACCCAGCGTCCATGAGCACTCTTGTACCTGTCCATTTGTTGAGCTGGGTCTTGGTCTTGCCACAGATGAGCCTGATTAAAGAAATAAGGTTTCATTTACAGCCACCTTTATTTATGACTCAAAAACTATTAGATGTGTCCACGCACTTTGTATCAGGGGAAGCCGTTTGCTGTCAGAATTATGTGGCATTACTAATTGAGTCCAGAATAGGAAGATGGAAGTACTTGGAACCGTGTGCTGGAAGGTACAGTTTATACTGTATTTAAAGCTTAATGGAGCTTTGGACCTACAGAATTTTAAGAGTTATGAGCTCTCAAGGAACTGATTTGTCAGCTACCTTTTTGTCTTCTGGGATTTTGCCTTCTGGACAGACCTGCGTTTTGTTCCTAATTTTCATGTTTTACAGTTTTCCTCCATGCCACAGAACTCTGTCTCGAGCTTTCATACTGACTTTTGACCAAATGGTAGCAGTTTTCAGAAGTACGCAGCCCAGCATACACTTGGGCAGTATAAGCTTTGTGGGCTGGAAGTTAATTTGCATGAGGCAGGGCTATCTGCCTGCCTATGTATAATTTAATGTGTTGCATTGTTTAGTGTATGCGTTGTGACTCTCTAGATTACAGTCCGAGAACTCTAGAGAAAAAAAAAACCAGACTATTTGTAGTTGTCTGCTTCTTTACTCTGAAAGAACTATTTTAAATTGATGTCCTTTTATGATTTTTCTGCTGTTTAGATTTTATGGACAGAGTCTGGACAGATCTGGTGTTCTAGATTTGGACAACACTGTGGAATTTGCTAAGTGCGTTTAAGCTGGACCTGCTGTTTTTGTCATCATTGAAATAAATAGCTGTAGGTAGTTTCAGGAATTGTGGAGGTAACAGAAGTATTTAGCCTGAAACAGCCTACTATGATTGCCAGCCCTCTGTGAAAGAGCTGTATTCTTTTAGACCCAGAGGTGCAATTTGTGGCTCTGCTAATTCAGACTTAACGATGAGGGCCCTCGGTTGAGTCAATTGAAAAAACTATTTTATGTTGTTGAAAATGATGAATTTTAATGACTTCTTTATTCAACAGATATTAACTTGGTGTTTTTAGAGGGGAGGGACGAGGTGCACTGAAGTACAGAAGCATAAATGGTAACTCATAGTAGTAACCTGTAGATTCCTTCTCAAAGTTGTTGCTCGAAATGAGCAGCTGGTTATGTCATAAGGCAGCAGAAAAGCGCTGTGATCAGTTCCTTGGATCCACAGGCTACATGGAAGTACTGTGCACTTTGGTAGGCACTGGTACACTGCCGGTTAATTACTGAACAGAGGTACTGCTTAGTCGAAACTGGTGCCTGGACCTACTTGTGATCACCTGATGTTGCACACGTAACGAAGAATCCTTGCTTTCATTTGTCAGAGTGCTTAAAATGTAGATAACTGGCCTTTTTGTCACTTAGCCTTTCATAGGCTTGAAATTGGCAGTCAGCCTGAATACATGCAAAACACTGTAGTTTTCCAGTTGATCGTTTCTGTAGTTTTCGTGATCATTTTTCTTGGTTTCTGTAACTCCACACCATTTTTGTGTTAGTTGAACTGTTACGTCTTCAGCAAACATTTTCAGCAAGCAATCTGGGTTTTAAAATTTCGGTAGGAAATTTTAAAGGAATTTTTTTTTAAATGTAACAAAAGGAAACTATTGTTACTTTCACTGATATAACAATATTAATATTTATAGTACGAATATAACAGTAGTATCGTTAACTGTTATTTCCTGTTCTAGCTCAATCTAGATGATTTTGCTAGTAGGGTAACATTAGGTCAGCTACATGGGAGAAATTTGCACTTACACTAGAAGAAAAAACATTGTATAGTTTTACATAATTTTGTAGATAAGTTTACTGCAGCAGGCACAAGAAATGGCTGATGTACGAAACTTTCAGAAAATGAGATTGGTTGTTTTTAATAAACTCTTGCCAGTGTTAGTGGTTACCCTGCTTTTTAGAGGTGTTAGAGCTCTAGTGAACTAAAGCTCTTGTTACTGTGGAGCTGTTTGTTTTACTCTGAACATCTGTTGACAGTGAGGTTTACTCCCTCATTTGAATGTCTGCCATTCTGATCTCTGCCCTGAAATTCTCAGCTCATTCTTGGGGTAGTTAGCTGAAGGCAAGCAAGAACCTTACATGTCCTCCTCCTTCCTAAAGAGATTGTTTTGTGCAGGATCCGGTATTAATCGTATTTAAAGTGCATTTAGATATAAAATTCATCCTACGCGCTGGGAATTAAACCCACAAAATTTATTGTGAAAGAGCCCTGAATTGTGCTGGTCATGTTATGATTTAAGTTGTACGTTAATGCGGGTCATATTCCTGGTATTAGGAAGGTTGAAACATCAAAAGCCATGGAATAGAATATCATGCAACAAAACAAGTCGCTTCACATTGGTACACTTCATTTTCATGTGCTGAGCTGAAATAAGCCGTACCGCTAGAAGCACGTCTGGGGTGCTGCGCTTGTAGCACAGCATCCTGCTCTGTGCCTGGGCTTGGGTGAGGGGGGCTTGTGTCACCTCACCCTGCCAGACGAGGAGAGGTAGCGTTGGAAACGTGTTGTAAGTCAGACTGGAAAAGTGCTGTGGTTTGCATTTGGGTTTAGCCTGAAATCGGTCTTCTGGTGACAGAATTGATCTTAGAACAGTGGCATAATCAGGAGTTTATCAAGTCTAATCTTTAAGCATCTTTCGCTCTGGTGGAGTGTTCGTTGCAGACTTCCCACGCTTCATTGTGTGGGAGGTGACTGACTAGACTCCTCGACAGGAATAAAATTGCAGTTAAAAGTAACAGTTAAAAAAAAAAAAAAAAAAAAGGTGATATTTTCCATAAAAGAATTTTTTTTACAAACAGTATTTTTCTTGCTGTATTTCTTACTTGCCCTTCCGTTTGTGATTACTTACTTTGCTTAATTTTGGGGTTACTTGTAAGGCATAGTGATTGCACAGTTGAAAATTAGACTTTGGAAGCCTTAACACTTTATTTAAGATTTGAGAATTTAGGATTCTCAGTCTAGAATGATTTCTGATTAGTAAAAGTAAAAGCCAAGAGTAACGTTACTATAGAAAGGTAGTCTGGAGAGCTCTGTCGTTGAGATGGATATTTATGTGACTGTAGCAGATTTCTGCCCATCCTAAGTGTTCCTTCAAATAGTTATTTAGTTGCTAGCGGATTACTTTGTCAGATGTGCTTATGTTGGAAATTATTGAGATACTGAAGCTCCTTGTGTTACGGCTATGGATACCAGAGCACGTTTGAATGTCTGAGCTCAGGTTTTCTTCTGAATAATAAAGTTTGAATGCTAGCTCATCTAATATTGAGACTGGATCTCTCTTGAGGTTGGTTGGATGGAGTATTCTCGCCTCTCTTCATCAAAATGGCGGTGACCTAACCAAATTACGTGCATTTGGGTGATCCTTTTGGGCTCTTTTTAGAAACGAGACAAGACGTTGATAGCGCGGTGATGTGGAGAAGTGTCACTTTTTTCTTTTACTGAGGTGCTAAAACATACTCCTTGCTTCACAGATGGCAAAGCAGTTCAGTTCTGTGACAGAGACAAATGTTAATTAGGAAACCCCAGAAAAGAGTAATTTGGGTAGTGTTTTGTGTCGACGATCGGTATCCCAGTAAGTGAAGTCCCCTTGAAATACAGACAAAGGCAAGAGCCTGAATAGTAGATGAGTCTTGAAAGGATTATGGTCTTAAGTGAGGTGGTTGATCTGAGGTAGGGGAAAGGCTCAGGTGGGCCCAGCGCGGTCGTGCAGCTCGTGTCTTGTGTTAGAAGCCAGCACGCAGAGCTGAGCACCTGCTTCTGGCTGCGGGCTCGATGGCATGGTATGGCCGTGTCTTGCGTCTTGCAGCTGGGAACATCTGGCGTTTGAAAGTGCTGTGTGGTGTGGTAGGTGATGTTCCGCTTTCGGTTGCTCTTGCTGCCCCTGCGGCTGTCTCGCTCTGTGGCGTTCGGATTGTTTTCCTGAGAAGGCTGCCTAGGAGCTGGAGTAAGCTTCGTGTAAAGTGTACGTTGTATTGTAGTAGAATTGGGTTGGTCTGTCCGAGCCTGGAAGGCCACCTTACGGAGGCAATCCTAAGATGTTCTTGCCCTTTCCCTAGAATCCTTTTGTGACCGATGAATTTACAAAATCATCTTAACGCTTATTTAAATGCTTTTTGTTGTTCTGGTACTGAATATTTAAGGAGGTGGGAGCTCAAACACCCCATTCCAGATCAGCTTCGGATTTTGTCTTGTTTAATATCTTGACTGCTAGCAGGTATTTTTCAGGACTTTTATTTTTGGGGTCTTTTTTTTGGTGTCTTTTTTTTGGTTCAGCACTTCAACCTGCAAGTGTTTTGGTGGGTTTTTTTTTTGGTTTTGTTTTTTTTGTTTTGGTTTGGTTTTGGTTTTTTGTTTGTTTTGTTTTTTAACATGCTGATGCTTTTGTTGTGCTCGTGTACTAAGATATCAAAGGTGACTGGTGCCTCCAAGTGTTTTCAGCTGGCTTTGGAAAAACTCAACCCCCTTATGACTTTGCAGAACTGCATTTTTGTACAGTATGTCCTTGGCATGGTCCTGAAATATGTCCTCAGTGGTCTGATGAAGATTAGGCTTTCCTAGTTACATTGAAATGAAATTTAAAGCTCTCATAATATTGATGAATACACTAACAGACAGTTTTGAATTACCTCAATAATGTTCTTTTATAATTAACTTTTATTCTAGTTTGATTATTTGAAAATTCCATTGTCCTATTTGATTATAAATATTAGTAATGAAAATATTAGCAATGGAAATTATAATTTTGAGTTTTGTTTTGCCATGTTATTTCTTAGGTTGAAGCAGATAAAAGATTAACAAACAAATAAATGACTGAATAAACTTCTGAATAGTGGAAGATAAGAATTGTCAGTATATGATGCTGAGTTCTGACAAATTATCACAGTACTTTGCATGTAATTCAAATGTGAATTGAATACACATGTGAAAGACAGGGAATGATTTAAATATTATTAAAATCAATGAAAAATGCAATAAGCAGAAGTGTAAATTTTATATATAGCACTAAAAATGTACCAGAGCTTAGTTTCTCGCTTCGCATAATGGAACCATCATTTAAATGACACTGACAATTAATCCTTATTGTTGTCGTGGGTTTCTGTTACAATGGAATGAAAAGGAAACAAAAAGGCTTAAAAGTAGCGTCGAAAGTTACACTTGAAACAGAACAAGTAGTTTAAAAGTGAGCGCAAATTCCAGAACAGACAAAGAAACCTTCTGTGGCATGTATTGTCTTATATGTAAGACTAAGACCTAGGCATTCATAGGCAGTAGTGATATCTTAAGTGTGATGATGATATTACCAATACTTGACGTTTCAGTGATCTGACCCAGCCAGTGGTCTGGCTGCAATCCTTACGGAATGCCTAGTAAATCTGTCTTCTTGTTTTCAGCGCCCTCGTCCCATGTACATGCCTTGCATCTGGAAATGCCTTTAACCAATAGTCTAAAGTTACCGAAAGGGAATAGTAAAAAAAAGAGGTCTTCCACATCAGTGAGCTCTGAAGGGACAGAGATACAGTGCTCTGTGCCCGCAAAGGAGAAATGTTTTGAGAGTCTGAAGGAGAAAATATTAAAGAACGTGATTGAGAAGGACAAGCATTCAGAAGTTGGTAAACGACAATACTTTTTGTTTCCAGTGCTTTAGACAATAAAAATAATTGTAAAGTGACGTTAGAAATAATTTTATTGTTTGTATGTTTCTTCTTATTATGTACCATTAGGACTTTTTACGGTCTAATGACTTACAAGAAAGTGGGTCATCAGTCAGACATTGCGCTTATGTCATATACTCTTCAATTTGCAGGTGCAGTGAGAATGGAAAGAAAAGGAAAACTGGAAGAGAAAAGTTCTTCAACATATGGTATGTGCAGAGCAATAAATTTTTTAGGAAAAAAAGGAAAAATTCTGTAATACTTGTCTCTGAAGAGCAAATGGAAAAGTGTAAAATATTTCCTGGGCCGAGCTGCATTTCCTTGGTTCATTTAGGTCTTAAAAACAGTTTTTATATAGATGACAAGTTGATAGTAGAAGGGTAATTTTGTAAGAGAGAACGAAAGTGCCCATAGCAAGGACATGAAAGGATCCAAAAGTACCTATGAGAAGCTTGGGGGGAAAAAAAAAGCTGCTTTTTTTTTTTTTTCCTTTTGATTAGATTAGTGGTACTGCCTTTATTGCCGTGACTGATTTTGGGGGAGGAGAAAACAGTTGAGTCTTACTAGCAAAATATTTGGCAATTCTTGGAAGAAAATATAAATTAAGAGGGCGTTGCTTTTATCCTGTGTTTAAAAAAAAAATAAAAATACTAGAAGGGGACGGGAACTTATAAGTGATTCTGCTTTGCTTTTCCAGGAGGCAACAGTTCTGTTTCTAAGTTCCCCAAGAAGATAATAAAACTCCAGTTTGCGTGCAGGAAACAGTCCTTAAATACTGACTTTGAGGATTTGTTTATATCACTGCTGTTTACTTAGAAAATGGATATCAAGTGAAAATTTTGTGGGATGTATTTAGTCTTGGGAGAATTAACAGGATACATAAAATTTTTCTGAGACAAAATACTTGTCTTCATGTGTATACCAATGATGGTTAGAAGTGAACCACAGTGTAAAAATTGTATCATAAATTTTAGTCAGAATCACTTTTCCATGAGAATATCTCTGTATGTTGACTGTATAAGCAGTTTTGTGATACTGAAATTTCCATGAATTGACTTTCTGTAAGCCTAATAGGTGTTTTTAAGACGATGCTATCTTTTTAGTTTGGAGTCTTGCACTTCGGAAAGGTTTTTCTCTTGCCCAAACCTTTTTGTTATAAGCTGTAAGTAAAATAGATGTTATGAGCTATCTAAATAATGTCTCTTATTTTCTGTGCTTTGCTACATCTTCCTCTGCTATAGTACCTCATTTGGAAATACGTGACATGGTAAAATGTTATTTGTTGAGAGAGATTCATTTGAATCCGCAATTAATGAGACATGCCCAAGATATCAAGAAAATTAACTGAATCATTTTGATTTGACTAGGCAACTGGAATACTTGATTTTTGAATGTCAAGTTTGGGTTAAGCCAAGTGAAGCAAGTAGTTTGGAATGGTACTGCTGTTTCAAAATGTTTAATTTTTCAGGTAAAAAGAAAGAAAAGGAGAAGGAGAAAAAAGAGAAAAAGGAGAAGGATCATAAATCGAAACAGAAAAAGAAGAAGAAAAAAAAGAAGAAATCTAAACAGCATGGTAAGTTCAATTTACCTTTATTTTTTTTTTTTTTTTTAAATAGGCAAAACCCACTTGGTGTATTTCTGGCATTAGATGTTAAAACTTGTTTCTAAACAATATGAATGTAGAATTTTAGAAATTTCAAAGTACACGTTTTGGCTTTAAATGTTGGCAGGTCCCTTAGGTCTGTGGACCTCACTTGTGTTTATAGCCTGTCTTTATGTAGTAGACATAGATACTGAATAGATTATTTTTTTTCCTTCCTTCAAGAGGTATGCTTAGTGTTCCTGTCTCTTCAAATTCTTCATTTGAAGCTCTGAATACACATCCTACCTATTTTGCTTGGACATGACAATTATTCTAGTGTCTACTCTGTTGCTAAATTTCAGTGATTTACTGTATAAAATGCATCCCCTGCTTAACGATGAATCCTTAACAGCTGAGGGTGTCGTCTCTGTTGCAACAACCTTGTCTGTTGTCTTGACAAATGGATTCCATTTGTCTTCATCTCACTTTCCTATTCCGATTCTTTGATTATATCACTCATCTTTTCCTTTTCTCTCTTATTTCCGATTCCTAGAGGCACTGGAGAGCTGGGCGGGGAGAAACTTAAT